TCTGCTCCTATGATGCTGCTTGGCCTGCTGTGTTCATCCAGCCCTGCACCTTGTTGTCTCAGATTCTCCAGCATCTGCAGTTCCTACTATCTTAGAATCAACTGATGTCTTTTTAAAATGCTGAATGACACCAATTCAAAAATAGGATTGAGGGTTTGGCAAAATTTAACAGCATTGTTTAATGTTATTTTCAGGTGATAATTTAGTGCTCTCCAGAGATCTAGGTGATGTAGGAGAGAAGTCCTTGATAAAATAATGATTCAAGCAAAGGGATAGAATTGTTTTTAATAGACTGAATGGCATTTCTGGTTCCAGATTTTTCCATGTAACCCAACAACAACTGAATCAATTAGCATAACACTAACATATATGACAAACTGAAAATGAACATATTACTGGTAAATGCTTCACTGTTTCACTTAACTTTTTGATTCATTTGGACTTAACAACCATAACACGCAACCTTTTAAAACAAAACCTTTAAATTTTTGCCTTGGTAAAATCAAACATCATTAAAAATATTACCTTGTGAATTCATTGAGTGAATTGAGAGACTGTGGAACGCTGAAGGAGCCATCGTGAGGCATAAAATCCATGTTACAGTCCTCCAAACAACTTCCATAATTAAGTACACTAGAATCAGAGCAGCAAGTGTTGTGCCAAGCTAAATCACACTGTGCCAACATGTCTTCTCTCCAAACTCTATTTATGTTTGGATGCTATTCTCTACTTTCCCAGTTGCCATTTCTGAGCACAGCTAAGTTTGCTGAAAAGCAGTTGGCTTAATTCACTTAGTATACTGGTGAGGTGATAACTTTTCCATACAATATGCAACATCAAAAGATCTTCACAGTGATGTAACTTCTGCAAGAAAGAAAATACATAAAAGTCTAATAATACTGGAAACCTCAAAAAAGGATTGAAAAGGAATCTCAAGAAGCTTATTTATACTAGTCACGCTGTTCACAATTGTACGGACGGATTACAAATGTTTACTTTGCAAACAGTTTGCTTGGAAGCATCTCAAGTCATATCAGATATAACTAGGCTAAGTCAAAAACAAAATACTGCGGATGTTGGAAATCTGAAATAAAAACAGAAAATGCTGGAAATAGTCAGCAGGTCAAGTGAAATATTTTTGAGGTCATCGATTTACTCCACCAATGCTCCCTGACATTTCCTGTTTTTATTAGTTTGACTTAATTGTTCTAATGTACATTAGATTTCTTTTGAAGGCATAGTAATTTATTTCCTTTCTTTTCCTCTCTCATTTTCTAGGTGCTAAATATTAAATCAATTAAATTTTCAGCATAATCGAGACCGTTATTTTAAAGTCAATTGCTGATCCAGAGGTCAAAGTTTTGCTTCATCTAAATAAACCTTTGTAATATGTTTTATTAGCTTTTCGAAATAAACGTGGAAATGTTGGACTGTATTGTACAGTGAAATATCGATCTAAAATTTGCAGTCTCTGGATTGTTGGAGACTTGGCACATGTCCAAAGACTCATGTTGGGACCCTATGGAAGTTATCAGAATTTCCCAGGAAGTTTTATTTCCAATGAACAATTGCTTTGCTCCCAGGACCCCTGTGCAAATGCCTTCCAATCCAGTTGGAGCATCCACTTACCTGGATAGTTACCCAGGAATTATCGGAAAGCAGAAAACTTCAGCCTAGCTTTTCTGATCAGGATCAGAAATCCTACTTCAGATCCTGATCAGACAAAAAAAATTGACACTATTGTCCTCTTAATGTTTTTTGAGTGATTTTCTAATGGAGCATCCTCAGAATCATCTTGGTGCAGCAAACCTTGAAGGGAGCAGTGTAGAGAATCTGTGCAGAAGTTATGCTCCATTTTTACAGCACTAGCCACCATATTCTGGGAAGTAAAGACTTTAAATGTTCCAAAACTTCTTTGAAAAGCTAAGAACATAAAGGTAATTGTGTAGGGAAGTAGGTAGGCAACATATGTGTGTAAGGGGTAAAGAGTGGATAAGACAATAATTATTCAGTTCTGAAGAGTCATACTGAAACACTAATTCTGCTTCTCTCTCTATAGATGCTGCCAGACCTGCTGAGTTTCTGCAGCATTTTCTTTGTTTGAAAAAGAAGGTAGGTTTGATAAGGTAAGTGGGTACGGGGAGAGGATTGGTAAGTAGGAGGATTAGGTAGGAGATAGAAGGATAGTGTGGCAGGTGGGCCAGGGACTAGTCAGGTGGGATTGGGTGGGGAGCCAGGATTGATCATCAGGTTGGGTTGAAAGATATTTGGGTATGTCAGAATGGGAATCAGGTGGTGGGGTCACAATAGGTGGACTGGGGGTTCAGGAGGTAGTCAAGGGTTAGTTGGGAGTCAGGGGATAGTCGAAAGGAAGTGAAGGGGATTGTTGAGGGTTGTCGAGGGTGGAATCAGGATTTTTCTGAGTAATATTTCCTGAGTAACTATCCAAGTTAGTAAATCAGAACAGTCTGAAATCTTTGACTTTAACTCAGAGTCACAGATCTTTTTCAGAGAGTCCTGAGGACCAGGAGAGTTGCCCTTTGGAAGTTCAATCTTCCCAGGCGGTTATTGTAGAAACTTTGTGTTGGGACTTGATGAGTCCCAATGCATACCTTCTCAGTTATATCCAGTCTCCAACTACCTAGAGACCAGGTCAAATGCAGCTGACTCTACAATCACTCACACTAAGCTCTCAATTTGTCGCCAGGTAATCCCTCTGACTCCTGACTATGTCTGTGACCCCACAAATGCTCGCTGACCACTTGACTATATCCCCCACCCAACTATCAACTCACCGTGCCCATCTGCCATTTCTCTGGCCCTATCAGCACACTTCAACCATCTAGCAAGGCTATATATTATCCATTCACACATTTAGCCTCTCACCCATTCATCCATTTACCAACATCCAAATGAGTGTCTGTAAAAAGGGGATGTGTCCGGTCCTCCTCCCAGTTTCACTCCATTTCAACAGAGACACTGAGGAACATTACAGACTTCTTTTCTGGAGGAAGTAGACTTAGTACGGTCCCAGAAAAAGGTGGAACAGTGTCAAATGAGGAAAATGTTCAAGCAGAGTAAGACTATAATTTTCAAGATCTAGGTCTCAGTTCTTTCACATTTTATTGAACAATAAGAAATCCCATACTAAAATACTATATATGTTGCCCCCATACTGAGTACATAGAGTACAATACTTAGAAAATTTGAGTTAAAAAAAAAACACAAATACTCAGCAAGTCTGGCAGCCCCTGTGGAGAGAGAAACAGAACTAACATTGAATCAAATGTGACTGTTCTTCAGAATATATTCCTGCATTTCCTGCTTTTATTCAGATTTTCAACATCTGCAATACTTTGAGCAAAATATTCGGGTAGTTATCTCCATTCTCACAGATTTATACATCAAACTCTAATAGGCACCACTTTGCCAATCTTAAACCAATACACATTCTTCTGCAGTCTTTCACATTCTTTTAGTATTTGCTATGCCTTCAGTTTGGTAGGATTCGTTCAGTTTCAACATTGCCCCATCAATTCCTAGATATCTAGGCATTTAAGTGAAGAATTCAAAACAGAGCTCCACAGAACATTACTTACACACTCTTCCAGTCCAAAAACCCTCTGACCCTTGTCTTTCTACTTTCTAAATATCTTCTCGTCACAGGATTACTTTCACTCTTTGTGTGCTGTTGTATATCTCTCAAATCAATTTGGTGGTAAGTGGATCAAGTACTATATTAGAAGTCCATTGAAACAGCAATTATTGCACTTTATCTATTATCCTTTATCCATCCTCTCACTTGTTTCAACTAGTAGTTTGGTGAAGCACTGTTGTCTTGGGTAGTTCATTACTTCAAACACTTAACATCAACCCCTACCCCCAACCCTCCCTTATACTCCAAAACATAAAAACTAAAATTAAAAAAAAACTTACACAACAATGGTTTCCTCATTTTATCCTTTTGATGTTATTTGGAGAGTGGTATAACGTTGTCATCCTCTAGAATCAGTTTTCCTTTTCACAGACTTTTCTTTCTCTTTCCTAAATTGCAACAGGATCCCCCAGGTTTTTGTGATATTATATTTGGATACTACCTTAGCATGGATAAATCAGGGAGATTTATACAGGGAGAAGGCTGGAAAGTCAGGGAGAAAGGCGTTGGAATAGTCAAGCATGAAAGTAACAAAGGCATTTAAAACCAGAGTGGCTCAGGTAATCTTGCTAAGGTGGAAGTGAGTGCTCTTACTGATGAGTAGGATGAGATGTTTAAAGCACAGATACTGACCAACACCGTGAGATTGCAAGCAGTCTGATTTCAACTTTAAAGAACGTTTGGAGGCTGGTATAAGAGTTTTAGTGGGGACCAAGAACAATGGTCTCAGTCTTCAACATTGAGCTCCAGGAAACTGTGGCTATTCCAGGATTTGATGTCAGACAAAAACAGCTTGGCAGCAAACACACAACTGAGGGAAGCATGATAAATGTCAAAAAATTATTACAACTATAACATATAATGTTTGAGTAAAGTAATTCACTATAATTCATTCAAGAAGCCACATCTTGGGTGTATTGGTAACAGCTGTATTAGAGAAACCGGGGGGAAAACTTTGGTAGTCAATTCCTCGTAAAGCAAGTAACTTCTTAATACTAAAATTAGGGAATTATCCAATCATTTGAACTTGAAAACGTGAGCTTTTGAGGCACTGATGTTCACAGATCTTGAGAGAGTTGATCCTCTGCCGATAGACCCTGTAAACACTGTAAATTGAAAACGTGGAATGATAACGGTCCTTTAATCAGCTATAATAGATGTGTCTGGGAGTATGCGAATGGTGGACCTGCTAAGTTTTGAAAACAGTCCAGATCTGTGGTAATGAATTGTTAGCTATCCAATGATTTGCACTGCATATTAACTCACTGAGGGGCCAACTGAAGCTGAACATTTCTATGCATAATGCAGAAGAACAAATGAGTGCAATTTGAAAACTAAAATGACCTTTGGTGACTCTCACAGTCCAATTATGGGCTTTGCCAGGGATTTCACTAAGTCATGGCAATAACATCCCGCTTTCTGGTTTTCCAATCAGGAAGGGTGGGGTGTGGGCATCATGGATCTGACACAGGGCAGATTTTTAAACAAATGGATCCTGGCATGGTTTAGAATGGCTCATCTGTCCATGAATTTTTCAGTCAGCAACCATTCTCTCTGTGGAATCTAAGGGGCTGCTGTCTCTCCATCCAGGAAGTGTGGATGGAAACAAGTCAGGAAATTAGGAGCTGAAGTATGGTCTCTTCAAACTTCAAACTGTGCGCCAAGAGGCTCCAGAAACTCAGAAGGGAAAGAGAGTGCCCTAAAACTTTCAAGTGTCGAGATCCACACTAGGACTTTCCCTGCATAATCCTCTCCAGTTCAATACATCTTCCAGCTGCATTTATTTCTCTATCCAGGCCCCTGACATCCCCTTCTGAACACTCAATTCTCACACTCACTCTCATCTTACTGTCTTCTCACATCTGTTCTATATGGTGACAGTTCTGGAAGAGGTAATGTTGAATTTTATGAGTTCTACTCAA